CACAGGAGCCACCAGACCTTGTGTGCATGTGTAAAGATGGGCTCTCTGCCTTGCGTCATAAAACAACATTAACATTCATGCATGTATTTGTATGATACACTTATTTGTTTTGTTCATTATGTTGGGAACTTTGTAGTAACACTACATAACTCAAAAAATTGGCCCTGTAAAAAAAATATGAACTGTCATTACCTATGCAGAAATAAAAATCAAGATAACAGTTATCTAGTCTTATTTAGTCTTTGTAAAACAATAGCGCATTGCTTTTTTTTCAATAAAGGTTAAAGACATAACAGGTATCTATGGTCAAAAACTAAAAAAAAATGTGTTTTTCTATATTGAATTTCTATAAGTTATATTTCACTCTCAATGACCATATCAGTCTACAAATTTGTAAACTTACTTAATGAAGGTGCCCATAGAGTGTACTTCCTCAATGCACTTGAGACCATTTCGTTCACCCCTGTGAATATGCACTTCCTTGTATCACAACTCACAGAACCTGCCTTCTAAAATACAACTCAACATCTGAACAATGTAACATTATTATTGCTTGGTGAAAGCAATGCCTCATGGGCTATGTAGTCTCGGAAAATTAGGTCCAATCTCATGTTTATAAGACTCACTGTCCCTCGTGACTCTTCTGAATCTCAGCTGTTCCAGCAGTCAAAATGAGAGCTCGCAGCTGCCAAAGCAACAGCCTTTTCTAGACCCTGGAAAGGGTGTTGCAGAACTAACACCACTCAATCAAAAGGTCTGAGGGGTGTATTGTAAGTGTGCTTTTATTATGCCAAGCAGACACACCCTAATGCCAACTGTTCTGGGCACATCTATATTCAGAGTTCACAAGCAAAGCAGTAAAGTTAAGCAAGTTCGGTCTCTGAGTTGCCCCCTCCTCTCAAAACACCTTCTCTATGTTTACAATACAGATTGGAAAGCTGGGAGGCTTCTAACTTACTGCTGGGAGATAAGTGCAGGCTGAACTGACATGTGCAGAGAAAGTGAAAATAAAAGTGCTTCTGCTTTGTGGATGAATTATTCCACAGTACCTTTATACTGTATGTAAATATTTGAATGTCCATAGCCTGGGCATGGGTTCCTTTTAAAGTGGAACTCTGGGCACAAGGAAAAGCGTTATGTTGCACAGGGCGAGGCCTCATAGACTGGAGTTGTATAGGCTTTGATTTATTACCTGGTCCTCTTCCCTATTGTCAGGAAAATCATGTGCACAGCAACACTTGAGGATCATGGCCAAGCACACACCTATGCCCACAGAAAAGAGTGTAGAAGTCCACGTTGAAAATTTACGTTGGCTAATACAATGGTGCATGGGATCACAAGGTTAATGTGCATGAGCATAATTAAGCATTGACTGCAAATTTAAACCAGAGTTCCATCAAGGGAAGTTGCAGTGGTCATGACTCATCAGCTTCCTGTGACCTGACCTGTGATTTGACCCAGCTTATTTGACTCTTAGATACCTTGATCCCCGGGTTTCTAACTCCAACTTTGTATCCTGACCATGCTTCCTGCTTCAAAACTGCGCTCCTGGCTTACTTCTTGTGTACCTTCGCTGCCCAGCTGTATTAGACCTTCTGCATCTGAGCCAGCTACAGGCACTCATGCTTGTCCAAGCTCAGGCATACCGTGGACAGGAGGTGCAAGGGAAGTCCCTGCGCTGCTCTGCCTCATTCAGGTATTTGACAACTGTAGACACTCTTACATTTGTCAGGCAATTGTTATCCTTTGCCCTTTGCCTTTGTTTTCCTGTTTCCCGTATTGCCATAGCTTCAGTTGCACCAGTCCACTAAATGGTGAACACAGATCTTCACCCCCTATCACGGACTAGGATCCATTATAGCAGTCCCCAAAAGATTGGCTACACAACCCCCTAACACTGAATGAGTGCCAGAAGTTATATTATTCAGATGTTAGGCTATGTTAACTAACCAACTAGTGATAAACAACCACCACCTTGCTTTGTCCAGCAGGTTGCTTATAACAATAGATTTTAAGGGTTATACTCGTCACATGAACCACACTCTCCTACCACTTTCAGGTACTTTGGGATATATCTATTACAGCAACACTATCCGCAGGATGAGGAGGTTGGGTGTCATAATATTTTTTTAGTTGCCTATAATTCCACTTCCATTTCATGTTCAAACAGGGCACTGCAATTTACAACAGTGTCTCTTTTTCTATACATGGAATATTTGACATATTATTGATACACATTGGAAGATCCTTATTCACCTCAGGATTCATCTAAAACTTAGTATGCACAGAAACAGCAAGCAGAATCCTTCAAATTCCTAAATGTGGGTGCTGCAGACAAGACCCCATCCAGCAACAAGTGATTAGCATCATTTTCAGTCCCAGAGACAATGGGCACCAGATGGGAAGTGAGGGAAATATGACCAATGGGAACAGTTATCTGACTAGTCCCTGCTCTTTCCAAACCAAAATAGATTTCGATAGCGTTTACCCATTAAATTATACACTATAAAGAAGAACTGCAGGCAAATATAATCTTAAAGTGGACCTTTACCCATATCTCTAAAATAACAACAAACACACCTTTAGAAATGTTTAGTAATGACAATCTACAAACACATACTTCTAGATGATTGCAGGCTTTGTATTCTTTGCACACGTTATTTCTCTTTTCTTCCCAAGTCTTCTGGCAGTGGCCATTTTAACTAAGGGCAGGTCACTAGATCTCCTTTTACTTCCTGCAACTCTGGCACATGTAACTAGGACATGTGACCATGCACATCATCACAGGGGAGGATGAGATTACAGATGAGATTTCCAGCACTGCACTGCTGATGTAACCTTACCAGGATGCAACGCTTGGGCACATTACATAATTTGTGCCAAAATGGACCCGGAAGTGGAAAAAAAACTATTTGTAAGTAAATGGCAAGCATGTTTGTTTAACTAATAAATGTAGGATGATTTCATATTAGCATGCAGAGCTGCATTCTGATGTGACTTTTAGTGAAAGGGGGATAAAGGTCCACTTTAACTCACCTGAACCACGGTCCCTGCTGGCTCCTACACCGGTCCCTCCAGCCTCACTTCCCCTCCGCTCCAGCAGTCTAAGGTCCTGTGAATCATCACGTCCTATACAGTGTATAGGATGCTGAGGGACATTCCATCACTGGAACGGAGGAGAAGGAGCCAATCGGGATTGTGGTTCAGGTGAGTATATCTTTGTTATTTTAGCTCCCTACACAAAACAAACACTTAAGCCGTGCAGCCCCACTGCAAAGGTTAAGATTTTTTGCCCTGAGCTCTGCTGTAATGGATACACTAGTCTGCACAGCAAATATAAACAGGTACATGGATAGCCTGAGAAGGTTGCTGATGGTGGGATGCAGAATTGGTTACATGACGTGTTGGGCATATGTTGGTCTGACATGTAGAACTCTAGTGCAGAGCTTAACTTTACCACAGCCCACTAAAATAGTGCACACTTCAGCACATTTTAAAAAGCATATTCTTCCATTCTCTCATGGTTACCTACAACAGAGGCTGGTAGACCCCCTGGGACCTGTATTCAGAATTTTGTTTTTCATTTACAATCTTGTATAGCAGTATCAAGTTCATTGCTTGAAAAATGCTAGTAGACTTGTAAGTTCACAAAGGTACATCTAACACGTAAATGTCTTTTCTTTTGTTTTGAGTAAGGAAGAGTTAAAACCGCAATCAGATTTTTAAAATATTTTGTGCAGTCTATGCCCCTTTGGGGAGCTTTCCCTCCACTTCCTGTCTTGACAACTGGAAATGTGAGTAGATCTCTCCAAAAGAAGAGAATTATCTCTAAGGCCCCTTTTGCACAGTCTTATCAGGAGGGGATCTGTGCACACAGAGGAGGGAAAAGTTGAAATTACCAGACCAGACATGTGTCTGTTTACATCAGATTACCCCCAATCCGGCACAATCAGGTCCGGCGAAACGGAACTCTGATCCGCTTGTATTTCCAGACCTGGCCAGAGCTGGGGGTAACTTAATGTAAACAGATGCGCATCCCTTTAGATCAGGGGCGCCCACAATTTTTCATCTGGAGATCTACTTTTCAAATGACAAGCTCAATGAGATCTACCAACGAAAAACACCTGCATTCAGGGGCGGGGGAGTGCATTGAAGTCAAACGGCCCTCTCTTCTCTCTCTCCTCTCTTTCTCCCCTGTTTCTATCTGCTGTCTCTTCTCTTTCTCTGCTGTCTCTTCTCTCACTTTCTCTGATGTCTCTCTCCTGTCTTTCTTTTCTTACCTCCACTGCAGCAGCTTCCCAAGTCTCCTCTCCTCTCTCCTTCCCGTCTGCGGCGTCTGACACATTCATCCGCACGAGCACCGTGGGAGGACACGACACAGGTCAGTGAGCCGATCGGGATCTACCAGTTTTCGCTTTGCGATCTACTGGTGGATCGCGATCTACCTAATGGGCACCCCTGCTTTAGATCCAGTTGCCCAAAAACTAACAATGGCTTCTGATCAGGCTGCCTGAAATATTGGACTAGCAGACCCGATCTGAATGCCCATGTGAACGGGTTCTAAGTCCCCACTATTCCTTTTCTAGTGTCAGTGAGCACTCAAAATGTTGGACTTTCCCTCATTTACAATGCCACACCAGTCACAAACCAACAGAGCGAATTCCCTTTACATGTTAAATGGCATGGTCATCTTGGAATATGCCTGTGTCATCAGGGAAGAAAACATCCATTGATGGAAAAAGCTAGTCATTCAGTATATTCTGGAAAGCAGCTGAGCTCATTTTTTGGAGACATAACATTGCTGATCCTAGACCTGACCAACTGAAGCAATCCCTATATCTCTTACATATTAGCTTAGCTAAATCCAGGTGGTGACTTTTTTTTTGGCAAGGCAGTGTATACCGCAGCTCCAGGAGACAAGCTGAGTATCTATGTATTGCTAACAGGAAAGTGTCACGCTTCACACCCACTTATTTTAAAATTCCAGTCTTCACACTTACGTTCTATTTGGTGTTAGAATCCCCTGGCTGTAGAGTCCTCAGAATGTCCAAAGTCCCATTAGTTCAGCTTCCATCATGCTCTGACACCCGTCTATCTCTCTTTGAACTTAGATTTGTATAAGCAGAAAGCAGCTTCGCTCTTGTGTGAGCAGGTCAGACTTGAACTTCCACACCTACAATGAGTCCCCGCCCGTGTCATACCTGTGCACAACCTGCACACATCTAAGCTGGCTGTCATATCCTAGGGGCTGGGCTTGGATTTCTGACCTTGTCACTCAGCCCACAAACCAGTTCTGTAATAATGATGCCACTTTATCTCTCTGGGAATAATGTGGGATGTAGAGCTGTAGGATGTGATGTAATATGTGCTTCAATGGCACATACCCAGTCCTGTCTTTACACTATTCATCTTTCTTTGTATTGTTAAAGAAACATTGGAAACCGCTGCCATTTGATTAGGTCATGTAGTTTAAGTCAGAGTTATTACAAAGCCAGGAGTTGTATTTGGCAGGAAGGTGAGGGGAACCATTATTAGCAGGCATCTTCTTCTTTTGGGTGATGACAAGTCATTGCAATCATTTGGGGACAGTTCACTCTATAGTGTCACGCTAAAAGCACAATATTCGTGTGTTTAGAGCAAGCTATCGCAGATCGATGTGTGAACTGGCTCTTAGTCTCTCGTTACACTTGTGCGTCTGCATTTTCATGCATTTTTTAGTGTGTTGATGAGCATTCTTGATGCTTTGTAAGGCGGCATTTCAGGAGGTTAAGAAGTGTTTTTTGAGCATTTTTGTTTGCAGACATTTACAGGCTTGAGTGTTTTTGTTTTAACCTATGGAACATTAGTTACTAGGAGGAGACGGTAGGCTTGAGCATGTTTGTTTTAGCCAATGGAAACTTAGTTACTAGGAAGAGAAGACAGGCACAAAAAAACGTGCATTAGGCACACCTTTCAGGCACTCCCATTGAAGTCTATGGGGTCAAAAACCTGTAATTCTGTTCAAAATGAAGCTCATGTACTTTTTTGACCTTCAAGCTCCAAGCAACACGTGAAACAATGCTGTTCAGATGTGAGCAGTGACCATTAAAAATAGTGGGATTCTTCATACTTAACCATTGTCTCAGTTTGGGAAACATGGAACACAATAATCAGGTGTCAATGGGTGTGTGTGCATTTACCATGCGATTTCATGCGTTTGTTTTGGGGCCAATGACACGCATTATCTGTTGTTGCTTATGTTGCAACAATAATGTTGTTATGAGGAGACAGGTTGTAATGTGCAGAAACGTAGTAAAATGCATGTACAGGCAGTTTTAATGCACTCCCATTGAAGTCTACGCGGCCATAAATGCACTATGTAGCACTAAAAGAAGTACCCGCACCTTTATCCCAGTCACGCAGCAGTGTAAAGCATAGGTGTAAAGGGGCCCCATAGAAAATAATGGGAATTATGATAGACCTCAAACATATCAATTAATACCTCCATGATTAAGGCCCATTTTAGAGTATTAATGAGATGGTACCTAGTGCCCTCTAGGTTAGCCAAACTGGTCATGCAAACAGGGGCAGACTGGGTCTCTGGGGCACACATGGGGAACTGAGAAGAGGGCCCCTGTGCAGTGAGCTGAAGCAAAAATTGGGCATGACTAGAAAGGGTGTGGTTAGGGGGTCATGGTGAAATTGAGCCTGACTCTTCTCCCAGTACACACTGCACACGTTTGACACTGTCCTTGTACCTACAAAATGCTCTGTAATTACAGATGGACACACAACCATAGATATATCAGTAGAGATACCATTAGTTCTATACTGGCAAAAGCAGAAACATGTGGGAGGATAAAATCAGTACCGTACTGGCAAAACCAGAAACCTGAAGGTGTCACTTGTAAAGGAGGACTGGGCTGTAAAAGAATAGCATGTTCTTTACCTTTCTGGTGACCTGTATCTTCAAATGTCACTGTGTTAAATACCTGTTTTTAACCTACTTAGTTGGACAGTGTACTTTTTTTGCAGGCTGGGTAGAGAGTGTGATGCGAATGTTTGTTTTTATACTTTGTAAAGCCATTCCATGTGCACCTTTCTTTAAAACTAGTTATGAATTGATGTGTGTTTGCCATTGGTGCCATTTTTTCCTACAATTACACACTGTGGTTCCTCCTGCAGGCTCATACACTCCATAACATTGGCGCTAGCAGGTGGAAAAACAGCATGTGGTGGGGTGAGCAGGTATTTCACACACCTGGGAGTGTGGAAATACCTGCAGTTGCTGTGAAGCAGCAAAGCAGTGACTTTTGAAGAGTCTTTCAGAAGGTATTAAATACAATGGTACCTCGGTTCACGAACTTAATTGGTTGCACGATTCTGGTCGCAAACCGAATTGGTCGCGAACCGAATCAAATTTCCTCATAAGGTTCAATGTATATCAGGTCAATCCGTTCTGACCCCTACGAACGTGGTCGCGAACCGAATCAAATTTCCCCATAAGGTTCAATGTACATAAGGTTAATCCGTTCTGACCGCTACAAACGTGGTCGCGAACAGAATCAAATTTTCCCATGGTGTTCAATGTAAATCAGGTTAATCTGTATAATGAACCATATGTAAAAAAAAAGTTACCAGAAAAATATGAAAGTACAGTACAGTATGAAGAGAGTGAACACTAACCTGGGTGGGGAGGAGGTTATTGTTTGGAGGGAGAGTCCCCCTCCAAAGGACACCGGGGAGATCTCCTTCAGGGCTTTCCTCTTTGTCTCTTAGCTGCAGGGTCAATTTTGGTGAAATATCTGTCTGATGTCACTTGTTTTTTCCTGCACTGCATAACCCTCCAGAAATACGAGACCACGTTGTCGTTCATCAGATGCAACACTCTGTTGGTTACAGTTATGTTGGGGTGGTGCTTCTCATAGAAATCCTGGCACTCATTCCATTTTTCCATAACGGATTTTAGCACATTACAGTTAACCTCCTCCCTTTCTTCCTCTTCCTCAGTGGAATGCTCCTCAACAAGCACCTTCTGCTGCTCCCTCTGGAGTTCAGCAAGTTCTTGCGTCGTCTGCTCCTCCTTATGGTGCTCAACAAGCTCCTCAATGTCTGCACAATCGATCTCCAGACACATACTCTTGCCCATGGACACAATATCCTCCACTACCTGTGCATCAGACTCTTCAAAGTCACATTCAGTGACACATTCTGGCCACAGTTTCCTCCAGGCTGAGTTCAAGGTCCGGTACGTGACATCTTCCCATGCTTTGTCAATGAGGTTAATGCAGTGGGGGACATTGAAATGTTTCTTCCAGAACTCTTTCAGAGTCAAAGACGTCTCTTCAGTGACATTAAAACACCTGGTGAAGAGCGCCTTTGTGTACAGCTTCTTGAAGTTGCAGATCACTTGCTGGTCCATGGTTTGCAGAAGAGGTGTCGTGTTGGGGGGAGGAACTTGACCTTTATTTTTTAACAGTGGGTGCGAACACCTTGTGCAGCCATTCCATGAACAATTGCCTTGTGACCCAAGCTTTCGCATTGGCCCTCCACATGACAGGCCGTCTGGCCTTGCTCACATTCTGTTCCTTGAATGCACAAGGGGTCTGGGAATGGTACACCAGCAGTGGCTTAATCTTCAGATTGGCGCTTGCGTTCGCACACAGCAAAAGGGTCAATCTGTCCTTCATGGGCTTGAGCCCCGGCGGTGCCTTTTCCTCCTGCGTGATATAGGTTCAGTTCGGCATCTTCTTCCAAAAGAGCCCTTTTTCATTGCAGTTGAGCGACGTATCCTTCTGCCTTCATGAATTCCACAAAGTCTTTCTTGTAGGCTTCTGCAGCGGCCTTGTCAGAACTGGAAGCCTCACCATGTCTTATGACACTGTGGATGTGGAATTTATCAAACCACCCTCTACTGGCTTTAAATTCATCATTAAATGCACTTGTGGAGGGGTTTTGTTGCAGTAAATCACTGTGCAATTTCCTGGCTTTTTACAGATCATGGCTTCACTAATACTATCACCTGCCAGCTGTTTCTCATTCAACCACACTAACAGAAGTTCTTCCACTTCCAGTACTTAGTTAACATAGTTACTCCTTTTGCCACATCAGCTCATTTGATGGCATCTTTATTCTTCAAAATAGTTGAGATTGTCAACTTCGCCATCTTGTACTCCAAGGCCAGATCAGTCACACAAATACCACGATCATGCTTTTCTACAATTTCCTTCTTCAATTCAATGGTTATTTTCTTCAAAACCTTCTTGTTACCTTCTTTATTGCGCTGCACTTTCTTTTTTCCACCATTCTTGCTCAGAACTTTCTGGTTACCTTCATCACTGCTCTGCATTTCTTGTCACCTTCATTACTGCTCTGCAGGTTCTTGTCACCTTCATTACTGCTCTGCAGGTTCTTGTCACCTTCATTACTGCTCTGCACATTCTTGTCACCTTCATTACCACTCTGCACATTCTTGTCACCTTCATTACTGCTCTGCACATTCTTGTCACCTTCATCACTGCTCTGCACGTTCTTGCCACCTTCATTACCGCTCTGCACTTTCTTTTTACCACCATACTTGCTCTGCACTTTCTTTGGAGCCATGCTGGATTGAATACTGTATTACTTTACAGTACTGTATGTGCTAAAAAGCACACAAAAAAAGCTTCACAGCAAGTGTGCACAGGTCTGCCTGCGACCGCGATCTTGACTAGAGGAAGCCATGACCACGTGTCAAAGCGGGGAAGATGGCCGCGGTTGTGTTCGTCACCCGACGCAGAGTTTGCGAACAGAGGCAACATTTTGCCGAACTTCCTGTTCGCGAACAGAAGCATTCCTGAACCGAGGTACCACTATATATCTGCTATTCTATTACAAGTGACCCTGTCGTGACCCCGGCTTTTATGTTTTACCAAAAAATTGGATAATAAATGTTTCATAACATAACGTAGGGAAAACAGTTTTTTTTTCTAAATTTTCAGACCTTTTTTAATTATTTAGTAAAAAATAAAAACCCCAGTGGTGATTAAATACCACCAAAAGAAAGCTCTATCTGTCCCAAAAAATGGTATTAAATTCATTTCAGTACAGCGTTGCATGACGGAATAAGTACCGCAGCGCTAAATACTGAAAAATGGCCTGGACAGGAAGGGGGGTTTACCACCCCAGTCTTCAGGTGGTTAAAATAGAACTATATATCCGTATAAAGACTATAGCTTGTCAGGGTTAAATTGCAACTTTTTCCCTCTATAAATATAAAGGAAGAAATAACTAGCCATGTCATCTTTATACCTGACAATTTCCTGTATGGTACCTATATAAACTGCTTTAAACCATGTATACTTTCTACTCATGCTCTTTATCCAGACATGTTAAATAACCTGTATATCTTGTTAACCATCCTAAAACAAAAAAACTTTTATGAATAAAACAAATTAAGTTTGCTTGAGGCTCACAGACGTATTCAACACTGAAAGCTGCATGAATGTGGATATGTGAAAAGCAGGTTTATATAGATTGTGTCTTGATGATCTTTTCCTAGCCTCACCTAAGGGAAGTGAATCCAATAATTATAAGGATTAGAATAACACACAGGAACTCCTCTATGACACAGCTTCCTGAGCACTGCAGTTTGAGTTTAAAGAGTAATGTGAAATCTTGCACACACTTTTTTGACTTTACTTACCAAAGAAATCTGTGTCGAGCATGCACTTTGTTTTGGCAGTGCACTGCAACGCACGTCTGCCAGCAAGGTGCATTGGGGTGACATTCAAATGAATGGCACTGCATCGCATCAATGCTATTATTGCAATAAAGCACGCGGTAACACACGCAATACCCTAACCTGGGCCATTTACCTTTTAATTCGATTGACAGTATCTCTTGAAATCCATAGAATGTCAAGGGGCCACAGAGAAAACGGTAGGGGCCACATACAGCCCAAGAAGCAACCATTTAACATGCCTGCCATTTACTGATTCCGTCTCCATGCAATGTAACAGCAAGTGACATCACACCTGGAATTACTATGCAGCTCAGGAGTCTTACATCCATGTTTGCCTTCTCACTCTTGCCTTGTGGCAGATACCCTTTAATTCGGACCCACTATTCTTACTGTAATAAATGAGGCACACAATGAGGCCATCTCCTTCCTTGGCTGCAAAAAACAAACTTGAGACTCAGATTTGTTTTTCCATGATCTACCTATGGCAGAAAGACTCGTGTATAAATTGGACCAAACCCAGTTTCATCTTTATACATGATTTTTATTTACATACAAATCAATACAACTTATATAGAGTACTGCTGAAAGACACCTCCTGACAACATTACATTTAGCCATGAGCCGGAATTATTCATTAGATACATGCTGAGAGCGTGTATGTTTATTCATTGGTGGTGTTATAATTACAGGTTACACACAATAAACATTCATTCTTAATTATGATTTATAAGAGGCTTTTGTCCTTTATTAATTACAATAAAATATTGCGATCAATTTTAAGCGCAGGTAAAAGACGCTTTGAAGTATGACCATCGTCTGTTTACCAGTATTTGCTTATCCCCAAGTTAAGCTTTAAATGATATATAAAATTAATTTTTTTTGTTTTGGATAGAGTAGAGAATGGTTTAAACCCCTGATAGGGAATTCATTTTCATGAAGACTTAACAGCAACTGAGTGGAAATCTCTCCAAACTAGGGAAAGACTCTTCAGCTGGCCATACACCTATAGATTATCTGCAGATTTTCTGTGGTCAGATGGAAAAAGTGCAACAGATTCCTCCATCTACACTTAACTATGTGGATGGAGGAATCTCCCACTGTGCCAGGCTTCAGTATCTTGTTAGTCGGCCCCACTGGCTCTCAAAATACCTGGAAAGTCTGATTGGATGCAGGCATTGTTCAGGTATTTTGAGAGCCAGTGGGGCGGACAAGCAAGATACTGAAGCTTGACCCAGTGGGAGATTGCTCCATCCACACAGTTTAGCGTAGATGGAGGAATGTGTTACACTTTTTCCATCTGACCACAGAAAATCTGTAGATAATCTATAGGTGTATGGCCAGCTTTAGACAGTGTTCAGGGCAGCAAGTGTCCCCAATAGAAGATTTTCCCTCTTCATGTTCTGGTGACAGTCTTGTAGAGGTGCTGTTTCTTCCTTGTATGGCTGGGCACACACCTTACAACCATCGCAAGACTTTTGTCTTGCGATGGTTGTAAGGTACTTAAAATAACGTACGATCTGCCTATCTTGCATAGGCAGATCGTACTTGCGATGATCACAAGGCACGCCCCCTGAGGGGCGAGCTTCCGATGACCACAATGCCGAACGGGCAGTGTGCGCTTGCGCACACCGGCCTGTCCGGCTTTTATCTGACGAACATGCGGGTTTTGAAACATGTCCGTAAGTCTAAAGTCGTGCGACCTTACAGTAGTAGAGGTTGCACGGCTTCCACATACCTTACGATAATCGTACGATCGCGTGATTTCCCGCGATTATCGTACGATTATCGTAAGGTGTGTGGGGACCTTAAGACGCAGAGGACATGACAGACAGCCCTATATTTGTCAGAATCAACCTTCTTCTGGAGCAGTGATTTGAGTGTTGGGGTTTGTGAGATAGAGAAGGTCAGACACCAAGAAAGTCTTGTAATCTGTGGGCTTTGAGGCCCACAAATGGTTTTGTGGGCCAAAAAAAAACAAAACAGTGTAGGTGTTCGCTATAAAAATTTAATGACATGGACCTACTAAGCTGTTTTAATTAGTTCTCTTTTAAAGAAGCCTCTGGCGTGATTCCACTGCCCATGCTACACTTGTATATTTCTGTACCACAATACATTAAAACTGAATTGAACTTTCAGTTTCAATCAGCTAAATAAATTTAATGTGCCTAAAAACAAAAAAAAGTTTTCTCAGTCTTTGTTTCTTTCCTTTAGAAAGCAGTCACAGCCATCACGCTGTAGAGAAGGAACCTTGCTCTCTGAGTGGAAGTAGTGGTCTCTCTGCAGAGGTCAGACAAGAGCTCTCCAATCAGCAGGAAGAATGTGTGTTGTTGATTGCAGATCTATAGGTCTGACTCAACAGAATGTGGCTCCTTGTCTACAACATGCTGGCAGGGGACAGGCTTTTCTACTCAGGCTGTGGCAGCTTTATAAAGAAAATTAACTGCAAGAAATTGGCACACCTTTATGTTTCTATGCGCCGGTTAGATATTTAGGTGATTAACAAAGAAATTCAATTGGGCTTTGAAGTCCCTCATTCACTGAGTTTGAAAGAAAACAGGAAATAAAGAGAAGATGTAGCTAGAAAGCTTTGATCATGCCAACTGACCCATAAAAACAACTCTCTAGACAAATCTGCATATTATTTATCATACATGAAAATGTAGGATTCTTTTTCCTTTTGCTGGTCATGTAATAATGCCAGTGATCTCTAAATAATATACTGGTAACGCTACTATTCGATTTTTACATGCAATTAATTTGAGTAAAAAAAAGCTGTAAATACATATATGTGTGCATTGCCCTTCAGTAATGACAGCCTTGTCCCCTTCACCCCTTCCTGTAAAGCTAGATATTCAGAATTCCCATCCACCTCTTCTAAGGATAATCTGTTAATGGGATGTTTAGGTTCATGAGCTCTTAATGGAAAACATCCTCTCTCTATAAAACCCAAACTCAAAAATAAGGAAAGTGCTAATAAAATATACAAACACGCACAGATTAGTGGATAACCTTTTCACACAAGTGCTTTTTTTTATGATTAAAGTGACATTAAACCCTCAGATTTTTTAACATAAAACAATACTGTAATGTGTGCCTTACTGTAATCCATGGTTGTTTCCCTTCTCTTTGCTGCTCTTCCTTTTAAATCTGTATCTGTTCTCATGCTGGGCAGAACTTTTGTTTTGCAGCAGACTGCCTTGTCTCTGTATGTACGTTTGCAACCTGAGCCAGCACTACAGGAAGAGGCACTCAGCTGCAAAGGGAAGTTCTCCCCAAGCATGAGACGACATGAGGATTTAAAAGGAAGAGCCGCAAAGAGAAGGGAAACTACCATGGATTACAGTAAGGCGCACATTACAGTATTGGTTTATGTTAAAAAATCTGAGGGTTTAATGTCACTTTAAATGTCGACAACACATTTACATAATTTAGATAAGTGCCTTAAGGAGGAATAAGTATTAGCACCCCCAGTGCCATAAACAAGAACCATTCTTCCTACGCACACTTGTTGACGAGTCTTACCATACTTACAGATACATTTTACTCTACTTCTAAAATATATTGTTGTAATTTAAACAATAGAATGTGTTGTGCAGTAGTTGAATAATGAAGATCCTTTAGCACAGATCAGTTTGTTCATATATTGATAGCCCAAGGGACAAAGGTATCAGGCTCATCTCTTGGAATCTGTAAAAAAGCATAAGCACTTTTCAGATTATATACTGCAGGCAAGTTATCTATTAGACAGGACGGTGCAGATGTTATGTTAAAAGTAGATTTATTATCTTATACTGCCTGACTGTATAAAAAGAATGCAGGCATCTAGAGATGTTTGCTCATACCTACAGCTTTCTTCTTGAGTACCCTGTATGCTACAAAATCTAAGGATAGTTTATGCAAATGTTGGCCTGGATTGGAAAAGTTAAAGTAGTATTAAACACTCAAACTTTTTTTCAATATTGAATCCAGATCAAACAAATCTACATTGCCCAGCAAAGTATTTCTTTACATTTCTGTCCAAACACTTCCAGTCATTTTTTTTCTGAACAGCTGCTTCCCAGTCTCTCAGCTCAGCTTCGCTGAACTTCCTGTCCAGTACAAGATCACAAGGGTCAGTGCAGACTCCAGCAACTGTTCATCTGCTAGCTTGTAGCGAGGAGAGGGGGCCAGGTGGGAGGGAAGTAGCTTGATTTGCTGTGTCTGTGGAGACACACAGCTTACTAGCATGCGCAAGGGTGACGGCATAGCACTCTGCTTGAGAAAGAAGTCACTCTAAAACAGGAGGTCAGGACCAGTGCTCAGGGAACTAGCGGATTCTACACGAAACAAAATAATTTAAAGACCTGCTGCTTGCATTCACACCTGCACATTCTGTAAACGCGCGTCACGTACGCACGTGCGTTTGTGCACTGTGTTTGCTTGTGTCTCCATTGAGTTCAATAGGGCCTGCAAGCATGACAAACGCGGCAACAAATCTCAGGTATCAGATTTTGTGATATGCATTACGTGTTTTTTGCTCGCAAAGGTGGAGCAAAAACGCATGTCTTCCTGGCCGCATTTGGGGTGCCATTAGAAATTAATGGCATGCGTTGCGTGTTTTTACATGTTTCCAAATGTGCCCCCAGTAGGGAGTTTCACCCTCTCTGTTTGTCCTTGTGACCATTGTTTCCAGTATCTGAACTTTCAGTGTGGTTGCCAAAACAAGAATAAGGACAAATCTTTCACTGGGAAAACTAGTTCTGGTCACAACTGCCAAAGAGGGGATTATTCTTCTTCCTATTCCTTAGTTTCCTATTCTTATTCCTTAGTTTCAAGAGATTCCCTTTCACTTCCTGTCATGTCTCCAGAACAGGAAGCAAAGGGAAATCTCCTCAACAGGACAGAGACAGATGGGGGTTTTAACCATTTCTGTTCCCAATCCCTATATATATATATATATAAATATAACATACACACACACACACACACTTCAGCAACTTAGTCATACCATGTTAGTGAATTTGTCACCACATGCCATCCTGATCTTCTCTGCGCTTGCAGGACTGTTTAAAGTAAAAAGTTCAGACATTCCTCTTTCTTTTCTGGCATATGTCAATGCATCCTTTATGGCAAAATAAATAGAGGAGCCCAGGAACAGAGCTGGCTCACCAACACCCTGTAGGAAAAGCACAAAGATACAGTATGATCAGCATATCACATCTAAGGTGCGATCCTACATACAGGTCAGAAACAGTATTTTCAGTGCCAAGGCTAGGTAAAGTTTCAGTTATTTAGTTGAGTTGAGTGTCCCAATTCGGAGGTGTTGTTTGGAGGACGGGATGGAGAAACCGCATGAGTAGAAAGCACCACCTATAATGTCTGCACTTGTATTTACAAATATACCCCTTTGCTGAGTGTCATAAAAAAGAAAAGTAGTAAAAATAGAGAAACAAGAGTCAGCTGGCCATTCTTCCAACAACTGTACATCCCTAGGCCAAGTTCTATGTGGAGGTGTATTCACAACTTCAGTTATACATTTAAATACAACCCTTGCTAGGGAAAGACAAGCTGGCGCCTGAGCACCTAACCTTGAGGCCATGGCTTCCCTTTGGGAAGACTATAACAAAATCACACTTGAAATCAAATTACTATGGAAGGTTGTCTTAAAGAAGAACTCTAATTAAAATATTTATTAACCCTTGAAAGCGCTGCAAGGTTTAAGCGCTCGTTTTTGTCTAGGTGCTAAAAAAAAAAAAAAGTTATACTCACCTACTCACCAGTTACAGACCATTCTACCCGGCTCCCTGCTTCTGTGATCACTGAAGTGTGTCTCCTCCTCCGCTGCACAGATGGACTGCTCCTCTGTGTCCTCACGTCTATACACAGTCTATGCACAGTGTATAGAGTGTGATGACACCAGGATCCTTAGACCGTTGCAACAGAGGGGGAGAGACGCTCGAGACACTGGTCTAAGAACAAGCCAGTTAGGATGATCTGGTGAGCATAACTTTTTGTTAGCACCTAGACATAAATACGAGCACTTAACCCTTGCAATGCGGGGGTAGCCCCCCCCCCCCAAAGCTTTAATACCATTTTTTAAGTTTAATGTCCAACTCCAGGGTAACAGGTTTTTTTGTCCCGTAGGTTTTGTTAACAAAAAGCAGATCGGGATGCAATACTCACCTTCAATCTGAAGATGCCCCCACAGTCTTCCAGGTTTAATAATGCCAAGTGTCATGCAACCCGGAAGACTAAGAAACATACTGTGACTGTAAGTGCAGGGTGTCAATGCCCTGCCCCCTGAGCATGGCACACAGTGTATTGATACAAAGAGCAGCACTTATGTCAGTATGTCAGCGCCGGTCTTTACTTCACCCAGTACTGTCCACTGATGGAAGAAAACCAAGGAGGAGGAACATCCTGCTCATCAATTAAATGGCCTACAGACATCAGAAAAAAGTACATAAAAAGCATAAAATACCACTGGGGGGATTAAGGGGTGGTGGGCTTTTGGAGGGGGGCAGTGAGCCTGAACTTGGGCTTTAACTCTTTTGTTGCCATCGGCGTAATCCATACAGCGGAACAGAAATGTTTCCAGTTGGCCCCCGAGACACACACAAACATCATACCCATTTGCACTACATACATTGTAATAATGCATGTTACGTGTGCGGACGCGCAGAGGTGCACCAACACACTAAGGACCTATTCACATTAGCCAGCACAAATTATGGTCTGCATAACTTGTGCGCTGGTGTGCGATGTGGACATGTGCTGCAGTGCATTGTTTCATGCCTCACAGTCCCTGATCTGATTTTTTTTTTAGTTTTTTAACTTTTTAAAAACGACATTCATTCAGATCTATGCATGAAACATGTTGCACATTGTAACAAGCTGTGTTGCTATCAAAATGCATAACTGCATCATTTTATTACAACACACTCCAAGACATCTCACACTTGGCACTGCGGATCAGATGTTACCACAATGCATTGGTTTGATTTTGTTATATGAAACGTAAGTAAACGCACATTATTTCAGGCATCTAGCCTGACAGATTTTGCAGACAGATCTCTGCATAAAAACGCAATTGGCAAGTGTGAATGTAGCCTAAGCCCACCTAAAACTGATCATGCATTTTTGTGCAGGAGGATTCTGTTACCTTCCAGTTTTATATGAAACAACATTTTCAAAATGTGTTTGTGTGTGTGTATGACCATATAACGATCATTGCAACTGATGTGCACTATGTAAAGCACTGCGTAAATTGTCGGCCCTATATAAATACCTGTAATAATATTAATAATAGATGGATTCAATTCTCCTATACATTATACTTTCTTTGTGGCTTTTTATCAATCAATTTAAAGAACCTAGAGGTCAAAGGTGAAAGGTCTAGCGGGTTTTGGCAATTTTCGACACTCCAGCAACAAGTGGTAAACATGCATAAGGCATCAATGTAACGCTTTAAAGTTAAAGAGCTGTGTAGGTGCAGGGAGTGTACAATGACAGGGAATCCAGTGTTCTATTACCTTGGAAGAATATATAGCATGTGGGTTGGGAGCATTGGCGAGCAAGGACACGTAGAACTGCTCAGGCACATCACATACTGCTGGGATTTTATACTGAGCTGGCCCACGGGTGTACAGCACTCCTTGAGGAGAGAATTTCAGTTCTTCAATTGTGAATAATCCCAATCCTTGAACAAAGGCACCTTCAATCTAGAAACACAAACAATACCATTTAAAATGCAGATATTAGATGCAGCATCTTCCAATGGCATATGAATTCAATTTCTAATATTAATAAACATATTGTTAAAGTTTCATTATTCAACACTTGGAATGTGCTTAGTTTAGCTAAATCATTTATAATGCCTATAAGGCATGGTTCACATTGAGCGTTTTGAAGCGATTTTTATGCCCTTAACCGCTTGAAGACCAGGTGTTTCAGCCCCTTCCTGGCCAGGCCATTTTTCAATGTTCAGCGCTGCGGTACTTTGACTGACATTTATTCCGTCATGCAACGCTGTACTGATATTGAATTTTATACCATTTTTTTGGGGACAGATAGAGCTTTCTTTTGGTGGTATTTAATCACCACTGCGGGTTTCATTTTTTACTATTATGTTATAAAACAACTAATATTACCCACTTTTTTGGTAAAATATAAAAGATGGGGTCACGTCGGGTAAATAGACACCAAACATGTCAAGCGTAAAAATTGCGCGCACTCGCAAAATCGCAAAAAACTAGCATACCCAAAATTGGCCATAGGCGACGCTTTAAAAGCTTTTACCGCTCATCAGTTTAGTGTTATCAGTGATTGATGGCCCTAGAACTATTGCTCTCATTCCGACGTT